AGTGTCAAAGTGCTGTAAGAGCCACTTACTGCATGCTCTCCTGGGGTAGCTACCATCTGTCCACTTAGTGTTCAGAACTGATATGTCACACCAGTATAAATGCATCACTTGTCCAGGCCCTAACCCAGGTGCAGCAGATCAGTTTTTCCCTTCTCTCTAACCAGTCTGCTGTTGGAGTCTGTCTATTCCCTCAGGACATCTTCCTGAGAGTCAGGACAAACCTCTCTGATCCCGTCTCTCTCACCTGTCCCCCACCTCTGCTCAAGCCCACCAAATATGAACTGAATGAATTGCAATCTTTCCCCTGAAGTGTTTAAAAATAAAAGCCTTCCTAGTCAAATGAGCTGTTGCTGGGTTTTATTAGGAACAGGTGATCTTCATCTGTCATCTCCACCCTGACCTCATCACCCCAGCCAAGAAAGAGCTGATAAGTCAAAGCTAGAGCTAGGCTAACCACTATATGACACTATTTTTTTTTTTACAGGTTTCCAGCATTTGCTGACAGACTTTTCTTTATGTTTCTTGTAAAGGGAGATTTTATAAGGTGGATCATTTGGAAGGCATTGTTCAAAAGGGGCCATTCTCTCCCTAACATTTTGCCTCAGAGGCTACAAAAAAACCCTATTGTTTTCAGCAAGGGATATTCAGATTCTATAGTGTTGAGACTCAGGCTTTTGATTTCATACTTCTGTTTAATTGGTGTTCTTGCTAGTATACCCCCTTTGGATTGCAACATCCTATTAAGGCATTCTTCCCTGAGCTAAACTTATATATCTTGTGGTTGCTCATACCCATCTTCCCTCTCCCTCTCCCATTTCCAGTTGGTTTCTTCCCCTGCTGACCCTCTCTTTGAGGGCCTGTCCCAAACCCTGCTGAAATCAGTGGATGGACTCCTGTGGGATTTGGATCCTTCAACTTCTTCCTCCTGGCTCACTCCAAGGGGTGGGGGTGTTTCACTTAGCTTGAGGGAGAAGAGCTGAGGGCTGTGGTCATGGGAGGTGTGGGAAGGAAGGTGCTTCCCTATGGTAGCTCTGACAACAAGCATGGTTAGGAGAGCTAGCTGAGGTATGAATGGGAGTGGTGGCTTTGGTTAATGTCTGATGTTAATAGGAGGGACAGAAAATGCCTACAACAGCATCAGGTGATGGATAAGAGAAGGGGAGACATGCATGGCAGGATGAGGGTCATGAGCTGTAGGAGGCAAGGCCTATGAAAGCTTGGGCAGAGGTGGGCCCAGGTGAGATGGGAAACAGGGGGATGACTCAGATAGATAAGGGCCATGGAAAGGAAAGGAAGTGCCCAGTGACAGTCAGGATGATTCTTTGGGAATGGGAAGGAAGTCCATGGGATTTTAGATGCTACAGTCTTATGGTTTTTTTTGTCTTTATATATTTCTTTTCTAACAGAATCCAGTGTGAAAGACTTATTAGTGCTGAAATCCACTCTGGGTAGGCCATCTTTTCCCGTTCTTTTTTGAGTTTGTTATGTTTTGGGTGGAATTATGGTGTGGCCAGAATCATTACTGGCTTTTCTGAACCAGGACATCAGGGCAGTTGAGGCAAGGAGAATCATACCCATGAGACAACAGTGCATACAATGGACACCACTTTCAAGAGCAGCTACATGATTTAGGAGCCTATGTCAGGTTGATTCTCAAGGCCTGAAGGTGCCTACATCATAACCGAAGCTGAGAGTTAGAAGTCACACGGGTGTTTTTGAAAATTTTGCCCTGTGTCACAAATGCTATTGCCGATAGCTCTACATGCTCAGGTTTTGTGGTATGTGTGTGCATGTGGAAACTCTCCCTGTATTTCACCATTTCACAGCTACAGACCTGGAGAGATTTAGAAGAGTAAAAGGGAAAATAGACAAGATGCCCAGTAAAGCAGGGTAGGTTATAGGGTAAGGAAGAGGGGGGGCCACGAACCAGGAGAATGAGGGAAGTGGAAAGTAAAGTTTGAGTGAAGGTCTGCCTAGTAATTAGAAGAATGGAATAATTAGCATGGTGTTAGCTCATGAGTGGGGACTGGTAACATTGAAAGGAACTGGGACTAGTGAAAGGGCAACTGAGAGGAACTGAGATACTAGTGAAAGGGGAATTGAGGGGAACTAAAATACAGTGCAAGGGGATTATTATCACTGTGAGAAATATGGGGAGGAAGCTGTTGTCAATGAGAACTAGAATACTAGTACAAGTGATGTCAATGGAAAGAACTGTTAGACCACAGAGAATAGATTGGTGTCACTAAGAGGAATTGGGTTACCATGAAGAGAAGAGGGAAGTCACTGGGAGGAATGGGGTTACCAGTAAAAGGTCATAGTGTCAGATGCAGAGCAGCACAACTCTATGTTTGGGACAGCTGTCCCGTGCCTGGAGCATTGCCAGCCCCTGCTGTGATGATTGCAGCAGTACAATCACTATGGCAATGGCTGCTTTTGCGCTCCCCTGCAAAAATGGTGCACAGGGCTTCTGCCTGGGTTTCCCCCCTCAGTTATGCTATTGCATGGGGTCACCAAGAGGAAATAGGATGCTAGTTGCCACTAGGAGAACTGGGAGACTGGGGGCTCAGAGGTGATGTTGCTAGAAAGAAATAGGATTCCAGGGGAAAGGGACCAGTGCCACTGAGAGTCACTGTGAGCAACCGGGATAAGTGTGAAAATAAACTGAGATCAGTGGGAGAAATTAGGCTAACAGAGAGCCTAACCCCATACCAAGGGCTTGCATAAATACCCTAAATGATGACCATATTATCAAGACTGCCCCAAGCACCCCACCTCAGACTGATGACACACTGATGTTCTGCTTGTTTCATGGCTTCAGGTTGTTACAGATACAGCTATCTGCGGGAGGATGAAGCCCTAAAACTGAAGGGCCCTGACTACTTGGCCTCCAGCTGTCTTTGGCACCTCCATGGCCCCAAGGGTCATATGATCAAGCTGCATCTGGAGTGGACCCTCCCGGACTGCAGGGACCGACTGGCCATGTATGACGAGGCTGGGCCGCTGGAGAACCGTCTCATCACCTCGTAGGTAGCTTCCTATGACAGTGGTACCAAATCTGGAGAGTGGTTGAAGGAAAGGAAAGCACAGGGTGCTATTCACAACACAAGGGCAAGGAAATGTCCCTTACACAGATGAGAGGAAATGCTCTTGGATGCAGCATAATAGAACACAGTAGTAGAACTCAGTGTTGGGGGATATTATTGAGGCAACCCTGTAGTTTAGCAAGTTTTTTAAAAAGTAGTAGGTGAAGGTGTTCGTAGCAGCCTCTGGGTACAATGACAATGTTTTGCATTTTTAGTGCCTCAGAGACCAGTGTCTGGTAAGGGCCTAAGAATATGAAAGTCATCTTCAGAATAGCCCAGCTCTGTTTAGGTACAGAGGCCTGATAAGGAGCATTGCAGCCTAGGGACAGCTCTTCAGTTGATGTAAATGGATGTAGCTGCTTTGATTTCATGGGAACTGTGCTGATTTTATGCCAGCTCTGGATTTGACGCCATGGTTCCTCAGAAGAGGAACCTGTCATACATTAGTATGAAGGGTAAAATGAGGGGTTTCTTGAAGGAGATAATGTTCCTTCAGCTTAGAGTTGGGAACCAAACAAGGGGGTATCCTTTGGTTTAATATTCATCATTAAGTGGTTTGGCTTGAGAAAAGGTCCTAACAAGGGGGAACCCTTCCATACCCATATCTGAGCCCTGTTTTCTATGTTACATCTTGATTTGTTTTATCAGTGTGTAGCAACATGCAAATCTCACTAGAGGTCTGGACAATCTCATCTGCTTCTTGCCTTTCTCCCTCTCTTCTCTCCCTCGGTTCCCTACCTCCTTTACACGTGGTCATCCCCCTTCTCACTTCCTCCTGTCTCTCCTTTCAGAGTCTATGGCTGCAACCGTCAGGAGCCCGTAGTGGAGGTCCTTTCTTCAGGCCATGTCATGGCTGTGGTGTGGAAGAAAGCAATGTACAGTTACTATGATCCTTTCATCCTCTCTGCCCAAGCTGTACCCCTTGAAGGTGAGGACATAGGGAGGCAGTGAGGGAGGGAAGGAGAACTGAAGGCACTAGAAGATCTCATACATCTTTAGACCCTTGATCAATTAGCCTTCCTCACCACTGCCTGGAAATGCTCCAAGGAGATTGGTAGCTGTTCAGCAGTGCTTCAAAGCATTACATAAAAATTTGGACTAGGAGCTCCCTGAAAATGTGTGATGCTACTGTGATGGAGCCAGATCATAGGATCCTAGGGAATCAGGGCTGGAAGGTGAGACTATCTGGTCCAGCCCCCTGCTCATGGTAGGATCATCCCTGACTAAAGCATCCCAGCTAAGTGTCTGTGCAACCTGCTCTTGAAAATTTTGAGATGGAGAGTCCACAACTTCTCTAGGTAGCCTGTTCCACTGCTTGACTACTCTCATAGTCAGAAAGTGCTTCCTGATCTCCACCCTAAATTTCTTCTGCTGTGGCTTGAGGCCATTGCTCCTAGTCCTGTCCTCTACAACAACAGAAAATAATCTATCTCCATCCTCTCTATAATTGCCCTGCAGGTATCTGAAGACTTATCAAATCCCCTTCTGTTTTCTATTCTCCAAACTAAATATTCTTAGTTCTTTCAGTCTGTCCTCATAAGTCACACTTTCCAGACATCTACTCATTATTGCCACTCTCTTCTGGACTCTTTCCTATCTATCCACATCTTTCTTGAAGTGTGGAGACCAAAACTGGACACAATACTCCAGATGAGGCTTCACCAGTCCTGAATAGAATGGAAGAATTACTTCTCTGGATTTTCAAGTGATACTCCCATTAATATAACCCAGTATGCCATTGGATTTTTTTTTGCAACAAGAGGTCACTGTTGAATTATATTCAGTTTATGGTCCACTGTAACCCCCAGGTCCTTCTTTGCAATATTGCAGCCTAGCCAGTTGTTCCCCAGTTTGTATTTGTGCATGGTGTTATTCTGCCCCAGGTTCAGGACTTGTTAGATTTCATCTGGTTGATTCAAGACCATTTTTCCAGTCTATCCAGGTCATTCTGGATCCTAGCCCTATCCTCTAGACTTTAAAGTGTCTGCAACTCCACCCAACTTGGGGTCATCTGCAAACTTGCTCAGTGCGCACCCAAGCCCATCATCCAAAGCATTAATGAATATATAACAACACTGGACCCAGGACAGATCCCTGGGGAACCCCATTTGATACCTCCTCCCAACTAGACATTGAACAAATGATGACTACTTGTTAAGCATGAAGAACCCACCAGTTATGTATCTACCTCACCATTCTTTCATTTAGTCTGTATCGCTTTAGCTTATTAATGAGAATGTCATGGGAGAAAGTGTCAAAAGCCTTGCTAAATCAAGGTATATCGGATCCATTGCTTTCTCCCCATCCACAGAGCCTGGCATCTTATCATAGAAGGAAATCAGGTTGGTCAGGCATTACTTGCTCTTGTGAATCAATGCTGGCTGTTCTTGATCACCTTGTTCTCTAGGTGCTTCACAATAGATTTCTTGAGGACCTGCTCCATGATTTTTTCAGGTATAAAGGTCAGACTGGACTGATCTGTAATTCCCCAGATCCTCCTCCTCCTTTTCTTAAAGATGAGCACTATGTTTGCCCTTTTCCAATCATCCAGTACCCCACCCAACCTCTGCAATTTTCAAAGAAGACATGGTTCCAAAACTACCTCAGCCAATTCCTTCAGCACCCTAGGATGCATCCCATCTGGCTCTGATAACTTGAAAGCATCTAGCTTCTCTGAGTAATCCCTCTCTAAGTAATTGTCTATGTAATTCTTCCACTATTCTAGACTATATGTCTTCTTTCCTATCTTGGCTGACAACTATGCTCATCATTTGATAGTTGCCCTTAGCTGTGAAAACAAAAGTTAAAAAAACCCCATGAAATACTTCAGTCTTGTCTTCAGCATCATCCATAACTAAGCTGCCTTCTGTATTCTGTAAGGACCTATAGTGTCTTTGGTCTTCCTTTTACTTTTGACATACTTGTAGAATCCTTTTTTTTCCCCTTTTATGTCCCTTGCCAGTAACATCTCAAATCATGCCTTGGCTTTCCTAACTTTCTCCCTGAATCTTTGTGTGATATTCTTATGCTCTTACTCCACTTTGTAGGATTCCTTTTTGAGTTTCAACTCATTGAAGAGACTGCTGTCCATCCAGGCTGGTCTCCTCTTGAACTTCCCACTCTTCTATCACATTGGGATTGCTTGCTCCTGCACCCTTAATATGGCATCCTTAAAGTACAGCCAACTCTCCTGGACTCCTTTTCCCCTCAGATTTGCCTCCCAGGGGATCCTGCCTACCAGTCCCCTGAGTTTGTAAAAGTCTTCTTTTCTAAAGTCTAGTGTTTTTACCTTGATACTCTCCTTCCTTCCCCCCGCCATAGGATCTTGAACGCTATCATTTTGTGGTCAGTGTCACCCAAGTTACCTTCCACCTTCATATTCTCAACCAAATGCTCCCTAGTTAGCCCCTTTACCATCTGTATAAAAAAGTTATCTTCAACACACCCCGCAGATTTGCTTAACTGGTTGTGGACCACTGTTTCCCTCTCAACAGATGTTTTAGTAATTAAAGTTCCCCATGAGAACCAGGTCTCATGATTTAGAAACTTCCATCAGTTGTTTAAAGAAGTCCTTGTCAACCTCTTTTTCCTGGTTTGGAGGCCCATAGCAGATGCACACCATGATATCCCCTTTGCTGTTCTCTCCTTAGACCTTTATCCAGAGACTTTCAAGAGGCTTACCTTCCACTTTGTAGTGCACTTCAGAACACGTGTACATCTCTTTCATGTAGAAGGCTATAGCTCTTCCTTTTTTCCCCTGTCTGGACTGTGATAAGTGCCTAGGTAGATAGAAAGAAACCCCCCCCCCAAGAAAGAAAGAATGATACTGTATTAAACTAAAGCAACAGGGGAGTCGCAACAAAATGTACTGTAATTACTCATCTTTGGCCAGGAGAAGGAAACTAAAAGCATTACGTGGCATCAGATGCCCTGGGATCTTTAATAACTACATTCGGTCATGGCTTTGGTTTTCAGCTGAAAGGATGCAACTCTAGCAACCCAGCAGCCCCTGACACCAGGTTGGCACAACAGCACTGAATGACAAGGAAGAGCACAGACATGCATTGGCCAGGCCTGACATGTCTTAGCTTGTAAGAACCTAGCCTGTGGTTCTGTGGAAGCTCATTCCCAAGCAGGGGTTCCTGTTTACATCCCCCTTCAACTTTTGTGCTGTTCCCATTTTCTCATTTCTCTGGAGATTTTCCCTCACTATCATTGTGTGCTATATGGTGCCTCTGTCTCCCTTTTCCAAGTATATTCTCTTGGGAAAGATGGCATAGTTGTGCATGGAGATGAGCAAGTACCTGTCCCTACAGCTAGTTCCTTCTGCTATCCATCTTTGAGGGGTCCCAGCTCGGGAAGAAGCTTGCATGAGGTGGGATGTCTCTGGGATGCTCACCCAGAACAGTTCAGAAAGTTTAAAATTGGTCTCCAAGCAGAGCACACCAGATCATAAACTCAGCAAGCAGCCCCGTGTTTTTCCAACAACCACAATATTCCACACTTTCCCTGCATCCTTTTTCCTGGGGTGGGATGTGGTCCTTGCCTCCTTCAAGGGTTTGGGTGATGATTCTGTGTTCCCAGGCTGATGCTATACTGAAGTGGGCTGTGACTGTGTTTTCAGCCTGTCAGGTAAATCTAACACTTCCAGAAGACATGGAGCTGCGGGGGAAGATCAGCACTCCATACTACCCCAGCTACTATGCACCCAACACACAGTGCACCTGGCACATGATGGTAAGGGATCATCGGCTTCCTCTCATCCCCTATGCAAACCTTCCAGAGGGCTTCTGGCATCTTTCCACTCCCCACTGCTTTGTGCCAGCACCCTTTCCTCTCTAATTCAGGAGTGTGCTGGGCTGAGTATCATGCTCATTCCTCTCTCTCTTGAGTCTGCAACTAAGGCTGTCACTGAGATGGGCCTGGGCAGGTACCAGAGGGTCACCACCAGCCAGCTCTTGTGGTGTTGAACAGAAGGAAGTCCAGGCTAAGTTCCAGCTAGATGGGAGGATGGCTGGGTGGAGGGGGCTGGCTCCTCACAGGGATAAAGTGGAGAGCCAATTCAAGCTCTTGTAGAGAATCCAAATGAATTATCTCCTTGTGGCCACATCCGTGACTTGTGACTGTTCAGGTAGGTCACTTGGGAAGTACCTGCTGTTCTTCACAATCTGGCAGACTCAGTTCAAATGGGACTTAGGCTTAGAATAGCTAGGGTGGGAAGTCATGGGTAATGGCAAAGCTCTGCATGAAGCCCTAGGACTGGGGTAGCAAGGACTATTGCATGTCAGGAACCAAAGTGCTGTGGCAGACCTAGGAGCAGGAGCTAAGACCTCGGCAGAGCTGGGGTATGGTTCATAGAATCATAGAATCATACAAGTGAGGTCGGAAGGGACCTTGCAGATCTTCAAGTCCAACCCCCTGACTGGGCAGGAGAAAAACTGGGTTCAGATGACTCCAGCCAGGTAGGCATCAAGCCTCTTCTTAAAGACCCCCAGGGTAGGAGCCAGCACCACTTCCCTTGGAAGTTGGTTCCAGATCCTAGCCGCCCTGACTGTGAAGTAGTTCTTACGGATGTCTAATCTAAACCTACTCTCCAACAACTTGTGGCCGTTATTCCTTGTTATGCAAGGGGACGCTAGGGGAAACAAGGTCTCTCCCAAACCCTTCTGGTCCCTGCTAGTGAGTTTATAGACAGTCACCAGGTCCCCCCTCAGCCTTCTCTTGTGAAGGCTGAACAGATTCAGGTCCC